CCAATTCCATTTCAGACTCTTGTAGAAATTTAGTAAGAAGTGGAAAACAGTCAAAATTATCATGTTCTACTTCTGAAATCCAGTACTGTAATTTACGAGATAAAGATATCATATTATCTTGAGTTCGAAAAATGTTTGTTTCCTTTCTTTGTAGAGATAGGCATGTTTCATTCAACTTTGAAAAAACATCTGCTAAATATGTAAGTTTTGCTCGCCATACATTATTTTTTAATCTGTCAGACAAATTAAATTTATGTTCAAGAAAGTAAAACTGCAATTCTTTTATCAATTCAACCATTCTCACCAGCACATTTCCTCTTGAAAGCCATCTTACTTCTGTATGTAAAAGAAGAGTCGTTTGATGGCTACCCATATCTTCACATAAAGCTTTAAATACTCTTGATTGTAATGGCCGAGTCTTAATAAAATTGATAATTTGTACGGCTTCGTCCAAAACTACCTTTAATGAAGCAGAAATTCTTTTTGTCACTAATGCGTATCTGTGAAGAATGCAGTGATTACTGCTGCAGTTTTTTGCAGCATTTTTTATTCTAGTTACAGCACCAGATAATTTTCCCATCATAGCCTTCGCTCCATCAGTGCACACTGAAATGCATTTATCCCAACCAATACCATGATTTGTTATATAATTATCAACACAATCAAATATATCTTTTCCTGTGGTATGAAGCTCTAAACTTTTACAGAAAAGAAAATTGTCCTCAATTCTTTTATTGAAGTCATATCTAACAAACACAAGTAGAATTGCCAGTCCAGCCACATCTGTAGACTCATCCATTTGCAACGCGTAAGCATCACATGCATGCAGTCGTGAAATAAGTTCGGTTTCAATGTCATCAGAAATATCAGCAATACGCCTCGACACTGTATCATTAGATAGAGATATAGATTCAACCTTTTGAGCAGACTTTTCATCAAATACACATGAAACTATATCTTTCAATATAGGTTTTATCAATGATTCACCGATAGTGTGTGCTTCGCCATGAAGAGAAATATGGTAAGATGCTTTATATGATGCTTCAGTTGCATTTTCATTGTCTGTTCTGCATTTCTTCACCATGAAATTTGTAGTTTTATTGAAACTTTCAAGTTTCCTTTCAAAAAAAGATTTATCCTTATTTTTATAGACACTATGCCTGGTCTCCATGTGTCTTTGCAACTTTGCTGGTGCCAACGAACTGTTAGCTAATCTTGTGTGACAAAGTATACAAATGGCGTCTGGGGCTTCTTCATCACCAGTACTAGTAAAGCCATATGACAAATACTGAGGATCATACTTGCGTTTCTTTTTGCCTGGCTGCCGTTCAGAACAAGAGGGAACATATTCCATGTTTTTTGAACTAGTTGCAGATTGTTCCTTTGCAAGTTCATCTTTTTCTGTATCTTCTTTGGATGTTGTTGCTTTACTAATCCTTTTTAACCACTGATCCATTGTAGGGCATTAAAAATAGTAAAAATAATTTGAGTAGAAGAAATGCTTACGGTAACAGTAGAGCAGCACAACCTTACTGCACGTGTGTAACTAACCGATAAAGCCAGCCATCACCAATGTTGCCAACTCTGAATAATCTAGTCTGGCAACACTTGCTGTCAGTGGGAATTCATTGATGTTATAAGATATGATATGTACCAATTTCTTATGTTACGATTAAATGTTGCTTTTCAATGTAGCTTCACGGAACCCCTGACCTTGCTTCATGGAACCCAAGGGTTCCGCGGAACCCACTTTGAGAACCACTGGTATAGAGGAATTCCAAAATGATTACAATAAGTTGAGTCTACTGTAATTGTTTATTTGTTTATGAGAAGACACTAGAAAGGAAATGGCATGAAGTAGAAGAAATTTTTAAATTTAGTAATTGATATTGAAGACTCAAAACAGTCTAAAAGTTTAATAAGCTGTATTGCTTTATTTCTTCATATTAAAAGTGATTTAAAACTAATAATAATTGATGATGTATATGCATAAATCTAAAAGAAAAGTTTTTGTGGTAAAAATGAATTATTAATTGATTTATTACTTAATACTAAGTTACATTAACATTAATAATGCATTTTTTATCTACTTATTAGTAGAAAATACTATTAAAAAATGTAATTAATTATATGAAAGTACACTCTAAGCCTATTTCAAAAAATAGTAGATTTGGAGACAAGTAAATTCGACTTATCGTTGTTTTTCGACTTAAGTCGTTCTCCTGGAACCAATTACCGACGTAAGGCGAGGTATACTTGTATATAGTAGTGTCAAATATGTCTCATCCCTCTGATCAGTTTTGGAGTTGCATATGTTAAGTGGAGAATGTCTTTTCTGTATATGGGATCATTATAATCTTATTTGCTTTTATTATTGATAGATTGTTCATATTGATATTTCCTTTACAGAATAAAAACAAANCTTGTTTGCTTATAGCAAACAAGCTCTTCTTTATAATTTATTTATTTTTTGTAATTTTTATTTTATTTTATTTTTGTAATTTTTTTATAAAGAAATAAAATTAAGAGTATTTATACAGTTATCTTGTGATTCAGCCACTTAGACTTAAGCAGATGCACATGGGTAGCAAAATTAAGGTGACATTGAACATTGATGACAGATTTGTCCAATCATCCATTTTAATTCTCAGGGTCATAAGATATGATTCGTGACACTAGTTGGCATTCAGTGTTACCTTAATTTTGCCACTTGTGCATCTGCCTTTACAGTCATGAAGTAAACATTCTTAAAAAGTCAAGATTTTTTCATAAAAATAAGTAATTGAGTCATTTGTCTTTTTCAAACCAAATCACAGGTGATGGAGGTCTTTTTTTAGTTGTTTTAATTTAATATGTTTAATACAAGTACATTTGTATGTAAACTTAAAAAAAGTTAATTACATTAATACTTAACATAAATTTTGTTTATGGTTTTTTTACATTATTTGTATGTTCAATATTTTTATATATTTGAGTTATGATCCTAAATAGTGAAATGGAACCCTATCATAAGTTGAAAAATAACTGTATTGAGGTATTTAATTCATAAATTGTTTAATAAAATTATTAAAATGGAACAGATATAACAATGAGTAAAAATTTCTTCTTCAAAAAGTTAAGTCTAGTGATCTTTATCTTGTATTTCTTAATTATCTGCAATAAACAGAGACCAAGATTAAATCAATTCACTTTATTTGCCTATTTAACAATACATTTTGGATTGGTATTTTCCAATCTCTCTTCAAACTACAAATTTTAAAATTAAAAAATAATTTTAAGAAAATATATATTAACAAAAAACAATAATTAAAATTAAATTTACAAGTATACAAAACAAACCTCGTGGCTTCAGTGTCTCAGTTGTTATGTTACATTGCCCGACTTCATATATGCAAAACCTTTTATGGTTCTTATTGATGTCATGCCGTATTCATCAGTTTCCATCCCATTATTTAGGTTAATACAATTTTGACAATGGATAATAGCTGTGTGTTTTTTAAATCTTATATATATGTCATTTTCTTTAAATAAAACTTTATTATTATTTCTGTCTGTAATACAATTATTTTCTTTGCAATGTGGGATCCAAGGAGATTGGCAGTATTTTAAAATACAGTAGAGCATCGATTATCTGAATATCGATCAACTGAAACATCAATTAACCAAAAGCTTTTCAGTTGGCAAATTTAAATTTCTGCTAGTGCTGTGGCGCTGCAATCTTTGGCTATGTCTTGGGCTACTCCAATATTATTTTTGTTGGTGTGCATGTTTTAGCTGGCAGCACCGGTGCAACCACAAGAGAGTACTTAAGGACATGCTAGGATTTGAACGAATTTCAATATGGGATAGGTTAATATGTTTTTTTCGTACATAATCAGTTATCTGAAAAATCAATTTTCCGAACAACCCCAGTTGGATAATTGATACTCAGTACCTCTACTGTACTGTACCGTCAATCTCCTTGGACCCCACATTCATTAAGAACCATAAAAGGTAGTAATCTTCAGGTGTATCTGAATTTGAATGCCTTTTCAAAAAAAGGAACATTTGAACTCTTACATTTAAAACTTAAAACAAAATATTAAACAAATTAACAAATAAACAAAATACATATAACAAAAATAAAATAAATGCATCAAAATATAAGGGCCAGTGCAAACTAAGAACTTTTATATTGTAATTTTTCTTTTATGCTGAATTTTTATGCNTGTTTAATAAAATTATTAAAATGGAACAGATATAACAATGAGTAAAAATTTCTTCTTCAAAAAGTTAAGTCTAGTGATCTTTATCTTGTATTTCTTAATTATCTGCAATAAACAGAGACCAAGATTAAATCAATTCACTTTATTTGCCTATTTAACAATGCATTTCGGATTGGTATTATCCAATCCTTCAGGCTACAAATTTAAAATTTAAAACAAAATATTAAACAAATTAACAAATAAACAAAATACATATAACAAAAATAAAATAAATGCATCAAAATATAAGGGCCAGTGCAAACTAAGAACTTTTATATTGTAATTTTTCTTTTATGCTGAATTTTTATGCTGAAGGTAGTCCATCTGCATCCCTATCATTTATGCAACCATCCATTAATTTGTTTTTATAAATTTCAATTTTTTCTTTGCTCATTGCTAACAATGGGGAATGCATAGTCTTGAGGATACTTGCTTCATTCCATTTAACTATGGAGTCCTGTACTTGTGCCATACTGGACAAAACTGTGTTACAGTGCCCTTTTTTAATGTCATACTTATGCTCCTTTAGTCTAACTGCTAGATTTCTTCTTGTGATTTCAATATGGTCTTTCTTTATCCACAATTGCTGATTTTCAAATGGATAAGAAAATTATTCTGTAAAAGGTAGTAATAAATCAGTCTTATCTGAAAATATTTATTAAGATGGAATCAATTTCAGAATTAATGAATGTGCTGAAATTTAACTTAATTTTTTTTTAATTTTGAATTAATTAAATTTTTAATGTATACTTTCAGGTACTCCTGGTACAGGCAAATCTACACTATGTGCAGAATTGAGTCAAAGAACTGGTTTGGAATGGATAAACATTGGAGAAGTTGCCAAAACAAATGAATTATATGAAGGATATGATGATATCTATGATTGTCCCATAATTGATGAAGATAGAGTAAGATTATTCAAAATTACTTTTATCGAAATATATATATTTTTAATTTGACAAAAATTTTTAGAAAATTTCATTAATTACATTTTATTTTATTTTTGTAATTTTTTTATAAAGAAATAAAATTAAGAGTATTTATACAGTTATCTTGTGATTCAGCCACTTAGACTTAAGCAGATGCACATGGGTAGCAAAATTAAGGTGACATTGAACATTGATGACAGATTTGTCCAATCATCCATTTTAATTCTCAGGGTCATAAGATATGATTCGTGACACTAGTTGGCATTCAGTGTTACCTTAATTTTGCCACTTGTGCATCTGCCTTTACAGTCATGAAGTAAACATTCTTAAAAAGTCAAGATTTTTTCATAAAAATAAGTAATTGAGTCATTTGTCTTTTTCAAACCAAATCACAGGTGATGGAGGTCTTTTTTTAGTTGTTTTAATTTAATATGTTTAATACAAGTACATTTGTATGTAAACTTAAAAAAAGTTAATTACATTAATACTTAACATAAATTTTGTTTATGGTTTTTTTACATTATTTGTATGTTCAATATTTTTATATATTTGAGTTATGATCCTAAATAGTGAAATGGAACCCTATCATAAGTTGAAAAATAACTGTATTGAGGTATTTAATTCATAAATTGTTTAATAAAATTATTAAAATGGAACAGATATAACAATGAGTAAAAATTTCTTCTTCAAAAAGTTAAGTCTAGTGATCTTTATCTTGTATTTCTTAATTATCTGCAATAAACAGAGACCAAGATTAAAACAGTTCACTTTATTTGCCTATTTAACAATGCATTTCGGATTGGTATTATCCAATCCTTCAGGCTACAAATTTAAAANATACTGTATTTATTCTAATAAACAGTGCACTATCTACAATTTTTTTCAGATTGCTGTTGTATTGTTTATTAGAGAGCAACTATTATTTTTATTCTTTGGGAATTGGATGTAATTATTATTACTATTAATAGAATAAATCTGGTAACTTTCACTTTATTATTTGAACAATAATGCAATACTTGACACACACACATCATATTTCAATATATGATAACAATGACAATGCTGAATAGAATGTAAATTTTCAGTTTACAATAAGCTTATTTTCTTTCAATAGACAATATAACTTTTTATCTTGCAACTGTGCTGTTTATTAGAATAAATATGATATATTATGTTTTAGAATCTTTTAAAGTTATGACTGTATAAAATTGGAAGTTTCATACTATATGAAATCATTCAGGAAAAATTGGTTTTCATGCATTATGTATTGCACTGAAAAATAGTAATTGTTCCAGAGCTAATTTAAAAGTGGTTACAAACGTAGTTGGCAGATACTAGAAAGATGTATGGATCTTTTTTCAAGTTGGTACACATAGAAACAAGTTGATCTGGGATTTGTTCTAATGTTGAATGTTGATAAAGTTGACTATATGTCATATTCAGTTGAGCAGAAACAAATAGACACAATTTAGTGCTCAATGTCAAATAAAAAGGATAACAAGTATTCAGACAAGTGTGAAATGGAAAATCACAGCAACCTTGACATTGAAGGGTAGATAATTGATAGAGACACCAGTGTTGGGATCAAAAGTCAGCAAGATCCCATAGTCAATTGTTCAACACTTCAACTGTAGACATTTGCAACAGTTGAAGTATTATGCGATAAAGACTGCAGCTACTAGAAAGAATGCAATAGACAAGTTGACATCTAATTTAGAAGTAGAAATGTTTCAAACAGCAGATCTTTGAGAACATTTATAAAAATGAAATTTATCTATTACAAGTAGAAAGTCTGAACTGTGATAGATTAAAAGCTACATAGCAAGCAAACTTGAAAGAAAGTCTTAATATGAAAATGAACAAAAAGAATTGAATAGGAGGAAAATTATCTTGATGAAAAGATATGTATTCAGAAAAATTAAGTTTTGAACATGATATGCAGAAAAATTGCATTCATCTTGGATATAGAAGTTTGCTGAAAGGTAGTAACTTTACAATTAGAGATTTGGAAGACTGTCACTTATTTCTCTGAAGGCAATATGCTTCAAGTAGAAGAGTGAAGTCATGATTCAAAGATTTGACAGCACTTTTTGAATGGAACAGTCTTCAAAAACTTCTCTACAGTAGGTAAATGATACAAGAATTTGAAAAAAATTTATAATGTACAAGAAAGATATTGTTTTGTTGAAAGTCCTCAAAAATTGTTTCAGAAGCAAATTTAAATTAAAAGTGAATAGTGCTCTGATACACAAACAAGACATGAAATATGAGAAGAGATAAGATGAATATACCCACCAATGTACCTACTTATGCCATACATCAGATTAAGAGCCAAGGCAGCATTGAAAAGAAAGTGATAATTGAATACATTATAGATCATGGTTTCCCATACTTTTTTTTGTGGTCCAGTTATTTTTATACTTCTCATTTGTGATCCACTAAAACTTTTATTACCTATACTGGCCTATAGGTAAACTAAAACAGATTTGAATATCTATACAGTTTTCATATATTATAATAAAGAAGCATTTACTCGTACACAAATGTAAACAAATCAAACTAAAAATATTTTATTAATGACAAGTATGATGCTGTTTCTTGTTAACTAGAAACTTCAGGTTTGGAGAAAAAGATGTTAACTTTATTCTTAGATCCAGTTTGACTTTCAATCAATCAGTTTCTATATTTATTTTTTAAGAAAAGTAATGTTGAAAATCCTGCTTCACCCTTACAGGTTGTGATAAAAGGAATTAGAAATTTTATTGCTTTTTCTTGTGAAACTGGATATTTCTGACAAGACAGCCAAAAATCCATCAGTGGTCTGAGTGCCGTATCACATGACAATTCGATTATAGACTCCATATTTGAATCTGTCAATTCTGTCTTGGATTCTACATTCACTATAAAAGTGTTCTTTATCCATGCTTTGTTGCTGTTGATTGGGGAAAAATATTCCTTTAGACTTATCTTCAGTCCTAGCAGATATTCCTTGATAGCAGCTAAAATCTCATCATGTTCTTAAAATAAATCTTAAAACATTTCCTCTTGATAGCCATCTCACTTCACAATGTAAAAGATATTCATATTCACTCCCCATTTCTTTGCACAATTCAGAGAATATTCTTCAATTCAATGGATGTGATTTTATAAAGTTTATAAATTTTACACACTTATGTAGTTGTAGTTAAACTCAATGGCATTTTTTTGACGGCCATTGTTCCACTGTGAATGAAACAATGCACCCATGCAAAGTCTGGTGCTACGGCTTTGATCCTCAAAAAAAGTCCAGTGCTAGCTCTTGCCATTGTGCATGCTCCATCACTACTCAGTCCCACACATTTTTTCCATTCATTGCCATTTTGATTGATGTAATTATCAATTAAATTAAGCATCTCTTTAGCTGTTGTTCTTATAGTGAGAGGTTTACAAAAGAGAATTTTTTTTTGAGTTGTGTTGTCAAAATTGTATCTCACAAAACACATTATATTGGCATTGTCCAATATGTCTGTACTTTCATTGACTTGTGAAGAAAAAACTACACTCTTTTAATTGACTTATGACAGTTTCTTTGATATTATCTGCCATCTCCACAATTCTACACTTCACTGTGTTATTTGATAGTGCCAGCATATTTACTTAATTCTTGTGTTTTTTATCACATAATCAAGATGTTAATATTTTCATTGCTGGAACTATTTAATTTCTCAGCAATTGTGTGAGGATAACCAATTCAGCAATTAATTTTGATATTTCATAAGAAGCCATCATAAGATTTTCAGATTGAGAACCCTGAGAAAAATTCAAAGATAGTCTTTTTGCTAGCAATTAATTCTCTCTTTTTATTTATGAAGAAATCTATTGGCTTATTACAGTATTCTGATGTTTCAATTTCAAGGGTCGTTTCAACTTTTGAAGGTTTCATGGACGATTTTGAAAGTGCCACATATCAAATAACACATAATGGCTTATCATCAGCACCCTTGATGAAACCGAATTGTATGTAATCCTGAGAATACTGTCATATCATGGATTCCTTCTTTTTTGTAATAGTGGACTGCTCATCATGCAACCATTTGTTAGTGCCACTCTCAGAACTTGTGTCTGACTGCACATCAATCAATTGTGTATTGGTGCTAATCAAAGAGTTTGTAACTGGCACATTGTTTTATTACCCACTTATCCATCGTAAAATTAAATATAATCTGTAAACACAACAAAAAATGCACTCTCTCGACATTTAACTCAAACTGAACAAGGGGAATCAATGCGGGCGTGGGTAGGTAAAACAAAATGGAGTGTGTCTTTCATCTTGATTAATTGAATTATATATTCAATAGTTCTGATTCAATGTTATTTACTTGTAAATTTCTTCAATTTGAGCTTGGAGTTGTCCATTTGCCTCATTCATTCCTTCATTCATTCATTTGCCCTGTTCAGTACCAAGATCAAGAATAGTCTACCTATCTTTGTATGCTGGAGTGAGATCTCTTATTGTTCATGGATCATTTCCATATGAGGAGAATTCTTTTGTTTTTAGCTCCTTTGGCCTACGGTGAAACAGATGATTAGCTTAACTCTGTTTCCTGTTCTACATATTCATATTCTGCTTTGTGAAAAAATGAGACACCTAGGTTTTCAAAACTTTTTAAATAACCTGGCATTTTGCTTTTGTAGTCCAGTGCCAGGTAACAACCCATTTCAGAAATGCTGTTATAGCTGGTGTTTAAGGTGAATAAAACTGTCTTCAACACTGCAGGAAATAAAAAGAAAATTTAAGATATATAAAAGAATGAAAAGCTGAGCAAGAGATAAAAAGCCAGTGAATAAAGGTCTTTCAAAAGACTCCAAAAGAGGAAGATTAAAAGATAAACAACATTGTTTCTTGTGAGTCTCAGTTGAACTTGAAGTAGACAAGTACCCAAATAAAAGTAAAAGATTAAATGCAACCATTAAGATGTGTAAAAAATTGTGGGTGATGAGAAAAGACTGCGGTTTCCTATATTTCAAATCAAACTAAACACCTCACAAAGTTTGATGTAAATGGTGTCTGTTTTAACATGAATTTTTGCACCCCAAACTCTTGTAGCACCTATGCCTAATAATATTGGAAGCAGTGGTGAGAAGTGATGCACTTCTCACCACTGCTTCCAGAACAGTTTCCAATAGAGAGCACTTCAAGTGCTGGCACTCTTGTATGAACTGTTTATAAACAACTTCAAAATTAATTTATGGAACTTTACTGAATACTAGCTGTTACCTGCGACTTCACCCATGCGGATTTTGCAAGCAAACTCCATTTATATTTAGTATTTCAACAATCATAATAATTGTTATATAACACCAACTGCTAAGAATGATGAGAATTGCTGAGAATCAAATGAACTGTTTTCAATTTGATCAATTTTCTGGAATGTTTACAATCGTTCTATAATCGAACCAATATGCAGTAACAAATTCAAATTTAAAATGGTTTGAACGTTTAGTTAAAAAATTGAAATATATAAAAATATTTATAACAATTTATTATAATCTGAAATGTTATCAATTTAATACATCTAAGTACTCAATGAAGACTAAATGTAGTTGAAAACAAAAAATCACATCGAAAATAGTACAGTAGAAGCTGTTCTTCAGGTTAAGCCTTAATCCTCTCCCTCTCCCCGTGGGGGAATTTCAAAAAACCCCCTTCTTAGTGTGCATTTTCATGATGTACTGTACAGTACCCTAACTCTGTACCAAATTTTACCACTTTATGTTCAGCAGTTTGCTCTGGATGATGATGAATCAGTCAGTCAGGACAAGTAATTTTATATACAGTAGAGCGTCAATTATCCGAATCAATTGGGGACTGGGTTGTTCAGAAGATCGATGTTTCGGATAACTGATTATGTACGAAAAAATATGTTAATTTATCCCATCTTGACATTTTTCTCCGTTGCATGTTGCTTCGCGTTGAATTTTCGTTGATGTTAAGCCTAACGAAGACTATTGTATCGTTAATAATTATTTTTTTATTTTGTAAATAAATATATTGAAAAATATAAAAACAATAAAAAATTATACTTCAGAAGTTAATTTAGTATCAAAAACATAAAATATTTGAGTAGCCCAAGACATAGCCAAAGATTGAAGCGCCACAGCTCTGGCGAAAATTTAAATTTGCCGACTGGAATTTTTTCAAATGATTGACTTTTGGATAATCGACGCTCTACTGTATTTAGATTTGGCTTGTTATTTTTAATCTTCTCCTCTTTTTTGAACATTTTTGATTGCTCATTTTGCCATGTTGTCTTTCCCATTGAGCTACTCTTATGAATACTGGAATTATAGTAAATTTGTATAATAGAAAATGTTAAAAGCATTAATATTTCTCTATACATTTTTTTATAAATGTTTAATATAATATTTTATAATAGTTTACTGGAAATTCTTAACAAAATAGTATTTTGTTGTACAGCATAAAATAAATTTTTTTTATAAAAATAGTTTTCTCATAATAGAATAACAAAGTAAGAATTCAAAATAACTAAAAGTTATCATTAAAAATTATAAAATTGTTTTCTGTTTTCTAGGTTGTTGATGATTTAGAAGATGAAGTAAATGAAGGTGGAAAGATAGTTGATTATCATGGCTGTGATTTTTTTCCACAAAGATGGTTTGATATTGTATTTGTTCTTAGAACAAATAATACAATATTGTATGACAGATTAGTAGCTAGGTAAATACCTTTTTACTATTACAATATTTTATAATTAATTTAGCATTAATTTATACAGTGTAGCCAAAAAGTCACTTGTCAAATGGAGGTATTCTGAGTAATACTACTGTTGGTCTGTACTTCTTTGAAAGTAATGTGAACCAACACACATATGGGAACATGCTGAATACCACTGTACTGGATTTTCTGGACGATCTTCCTATGAATTAACAACAAGAACTTTGATTACAGCAGGATGGTGTGACAGTATACTGCCTTATCCATTCCGGAGAGACTTAATTCAATGTTTTCAAGACATTGGATTGGTTGCATTAGCCCATCATCATGACCTCCAGGCTCACTCAACCTAATCCCTAAGGATTTCTTTCTGTGGTGGTATGTGAAGCAACATGTTTTCCAGATGCTGCTTGCCTCTCTCAATAAATTGAAGGACAGAATTCACAACGTTCCACATGCGAATCTTATAGTGATGACACACAAAGTTTGAGTAAAATATTCTATTTGAGTATGAACAACACTTTGAATATGAACATTGATGAGTATTGTGGTGTACAACACTCCATATTCACACTAATATCAAGCTCATTGTCTCACAGACTGCATTAAAGTCATTTACAGTGTCTTCATCTGTAATTTGCAATGTATCCTCTTTTCTCGTTTGGCAAGCAACTTTTTGGCCACACTGTGTATTAAAGTTAACAAATTCTAAAATAATTTAAGATAGTTGTAATATTTTGCATGATATATCTGACACAAAGTAAAAAATTGAAAAATTGAGTATTTTCAAAGGATTTGTGTTTACATGGTAAACTATAAGCCAATCAATGCCATATGTTATCATGCTATATATTGGCTATAATACTAATAAATTATGAAACAATTTGGTACTAGAGGGAGACATTAGGCACCATCTCTTAATAAATTTAAAAATTATAATTTTAAATTTATTAAGATTATTAATCTCTTAATAAATTTAAAAATTATAATTTTAAATTTATTAAGATTATTAATCTCTTAATAAATTTAAAAATTATAATTTTAAATTTATTAAGATTATTAATCTCTTAATAAATTTAAAAATTATAATTTTAAATTTATTAAGATTATTAATCTCTTAATAAATTTAAAAATTATAATTTTAAATTTATTAAGATTATTAATCTCTTAATAAATTTAAAAATTATAATTTTAAATTTATTAAGATTATTAATCTCTTAATAAATTTAAAAATTATAATTTTAAATTTATTAAGATTATTAATCTCTTAATAAATTTAAAAATTATAATTTTAAATTTATTAAGATTATTAATCTCTTAATAAATTTAAAAATTATAATTTTAAATTTATTAAGATTATTAATCTCTTAATAAATTTAAAAATTATAATTTTAAATTTATTAAGATTATTAATCTCTTAATAAATTTAAAAATTATAATTTTAAATTTATTAAGATTATTAATCTCTTAATAAATTTAAAAATTATAATTTTAAATTTATTAAGATTATTAATCTCTTAATAAATTTAAAAATTATAATTTTAAATTTATTAAGATTATTAATCTCTTAATAAATTTAAAAATTATAATTTTAAATTTATTAAGATTATTAATCTCTTAATAAATTTAAAAATTATAATTTTAAATTTATTAAGATTATTAATCTCTTAATAAATTTAAAAATTATAATTTTAAATTTATTAAGATTATTAATCTCTTAATAAATTTAAAAATTATAATTTTAAATTTATTAAGATTATTAATCTCTTAATAAATTTAAAAATTATAATTTTAAATTTATTAAGATTATTAATCTCTTAATAAATTTAAAAATTATAATTTTAAATTTATTAAGATTATTAATCTCTTAATAAATTTAAAAATTATAATTTTAAATTTATTAAGATTATTAATCTCTTAATAAATTTAAAAATTATAATTTTAAATTTATTAAGATTATTAATCTCTTAATAAATTTAAAAATTATAATTTTAAATTTATTAAGATTATTAATCTCTTAATAAATTTAAAAATTATAATTTTAAATTTATTAAGATTATTAATCTCTTAATAAATTTAAAAATTATAATTTTAAATTTATTAAGATTATTAATCTCTTAATAAATTTAAAAATTATAATTTTTAAATTTATTAAGCCCAATATCTAGCCCGACAATATACTGCTAGATGTGAACTCTACAGAGTAAGCATGCATGTATATGTTCTCCAAGTTTGTCTCATTGCAGCAGGCTCTTATATTTACAGCAGCTATTGACAGGTCTACATGTCTATAAAATGAACATGGTATCTAATAGTTGTTCAAACTTGCTCTCTCTTTCTAAATTGTTGGAGTTATTCAACACGGTCAAATTAGAAAGTGAGATATTAATTTGTTTTTTTGTAAATGTTACATTTTTAAAAACTAACTCATTCTAGGAGAGGAGCCACTGGCAAACCCACTCAACAAAGAGTTAATTTATTTTTTTTTCATTCTTCATTAAATTCATTTTCTCTAATTATAGCAAATTTTTAATTTAATTGAAATTTTTTTTAAAAAACGCTTTTTAATGATATCAATTTTTAAACTATAGTGGGTGATTAGTTAATGAATATAATTTGTTCCAAGACAGTGTTTGCTATTCGAATTGTTTGTTAACTGATTATAGATTTACCATAGATTTTTGTGGGAATTTGATAAATTTGTTCTGGAAACCCCAAAAAATAAACAAAATTGTTTTTATTACTATAGTTATAATCTGTAGAGTAGTACATGTACCCTTGTATGCAGGGATGTGTTTTATTAGTCATGTTTTTTCCATTTGTGGGGGTTATAAAATCTGTCTAATGTCGATTGCATTTCTCTCTTCTTCAGGATTTTTCAGAAGTAATTAATAACATTGTAATTGTAGAGATCCCCAAGTCTATTAACCTCAACCTTGTTTGGATGCCATTTTAAGACCATTGTTCTGACATCCTCCCACTTTTTCAAGAGATCTTAATAGCAGAAGTCAGCNTAATTTAATTGAAATTTTTTTTAAAAAACGCTTTTTAATGATATCAATTTTTAAACTATAGTGGGTGATTAGTTAATGAATATAATTTGTTCCAAGACAGTGTTTGCTATTCGAATTGTTTGTTAACTGATTATAGATTTACCATAGATTTTTGTGGGAATTTGATAAATTTGTTCTGGAAACCCCAAAAAATAAACAAAAAATTTAAAAATAAAAAATTACTTTCTCACTATGTTTATTTACATATAATAAAGAACTAAAAGCAATCTCTCCATTTTTTCATGGATAGCACATGTTTCTCAGATGTGATTTTCATTACTGCTTGAGTCTTTTTGATTATATCTTTCTTAGCTAAGATTGTATCTACTGTAGACCTGTTGAAGTCATCTGCCTATAATATCAGATATCTTCTGCTCACTCTCTACCTTGGCTATTATCTCTTGCTTAGTTTCTATAATGAACACAGTTCTTGACATGCCACTCTTTTTAGGCCCCATCATATTATCAGTTTCTTAAATAAAAAGTTTAGAAAAGCACTTGCAAAAATTCAGAGAACAGAAATTAATTAATGCAAAAAAAGTTATGTATACAACTGTGAAAGTGTTGTTTCATAAATGATGTATAGATGCCATTAAAATACAGTGGGTGATCGGTTAACGAACATAATCCGTTCCATGGACGATCTTCCTATGAATTAACAACAAGAACTTTGATTACAGCAGGATGGTGTGACAGTATACTGCCTTATCCATTCCGGAGAGACTTAATTCAATGTTTTCAAGACATTGGATTGGTTGCATTAGCCCATCATCATGACCTCCAGGCTCACTCAACCTAATCCCTAAGGATTTCTTTCTGTGGTGGTATGTGAAGCAACATGTTTTCCAGATGCTGCTTGCCTCTCTCAATAAATTGAAGGACAGAATTCACAACGTTCCACATGCGAATCTTATAGTGATGACACACAAAGTTTGAGTAAAATATTCTATTTGAGTATGAACAACACTTTGAATATGAACATTGATGAGTATTGTGGTGTACAACACTCCATATTCACACTAATATCAAGCTCATTGTCTCACAGACTGCATTAAAGTCATTTACAGTGTCTTCATCTGTAATTTGCAATGTATCCTCTTTTCTCGTTTGGCAAGCAACTTTTTGGCCACACTGTGTATTAAAGTTAACAAATTCTAAAATAATTTAAGATAGTTGTAATATTTTGCATGATATATCTGACACAAAGTAAAAAATTGAAAAATTGAGTATTTTCAAAGGATTTGTGTTTACATGGTAAACTATAAGCCAATCAATGCCATATGTTATCATGCTATATATTGGCTATAATACTAATAAATTATGAAACAATTTGGTACTAGAGGGAGACATTAGGCACCATCTCTTAATAAATTTAAAAATTATAATTTTAAATTTATTAAGATTATTAATCTCTTAATAAATTTAAAAATTATAATTTTTAAATTTATTAAGCCCAATATCTAGCCCGACAATATACTGCTAGATGTGAACTCTACAGAGTAAGCATGCATGTATATGTTCTCCAAGTTTGTCTCATTGCAGCAGGCTCTTATATTTACAGCAGCTATTGACAGGTCTACATGTCTATAAAATGAACATGGTATCTAATAGTTGTTCAAACTTGCTCTCTCTTTCTAAATTGTTGGAGTTATTCAACACGGTCAAATTAGAAAGTGAGATATTAATTTGTTTTTTTGTAAATGTTACATTTTTAAAAACTAACTCATTCTAGGAGAGGAGCCACTGGCAAACCCACTCAACAAAGAGTTAATTTATTTTTTTTTCATTCTTCATTAAATTCATTTTCTCTAATTATAGCAAATTTTTAATTTAATTGAAATTTTTTTTAAAAAACGCTTTTTAATGATATCAATTTTTAAACTATAGTGGGTGATTAGTTAATGAATATAATTTGTTCCAAGACAGTGTTTGCTATTCGAATTGTTTGTT